ATCATGCATCTGACCTCATAGCACATCCGACATACCCATATAAGAATGAAAAAGGATGTAAACCCTATTATGAGAAAACTCCTAGCCCATTCCTGGAATTCCTTGCCCTATACCCTTAACTCATAAGTAATCCTTGCATCATGAAAGCTTGCCCATGAGACTCCACCCAGAATCATGGGTTGGTGCATCTCTTCCTTGAGAAGACTGTACTCCCTCTTGAGTGTGTACTTCTGCCCTAAAATAAACTTCCTCCTAATTCTTTACTTTGTCTCCTCTCTGAACTCTTTGATGATGACAAGAAGCTGAAAACACTAGGCACGGGTCTCAATCTTCTGTCTCTATGTATGAGATCTCTCTAGCCTTTACCACTGGAAACACTGGGTATTGTGCATAGAGCCCTTGTTAACTTTGTGTTTACTCTTTGCCCTGCTCTAGACCTAGTATGACAATCCCATTTTATTTCAGTCTCAGGGAACAAGAACTGACCAAGGTCAGAGCCAGAACTGGTATAACCTGGGTTCCTGGCTAAGACATTCTCTACAAAATGCCAATTTCCTTTACCATTGCTCTAGACTCTGGCAGGTGGCTACTGACATTCACTCAGGACATTGGAGACAACTTCAGCCCCTCTGTTTTCTCTGTTCCCATCATCTCCCTATGTTCCAGAAAACAATAATCCTTTTCCACTCTGAGGTTGTGGAACTCTCCTAAAGAAAATCATCAAACTGGGACTTCTTCTAAAAGACCAAGGATTAACCACGTGCCCACTAAAAAACATGAATTTTTAAAATTGTCAACTTGACAAGATCTAGAATCATCTAGGAGACAAAACTCTGGGCATGTCCAGAAGGGAGTTTCTATCCTAGGTTAATTAAGCAGTTGGGAAAACCCACCCGACATGTTCTGGGCTGAATAAAAAATAGAAACTTGAGCCGAAGACTAGTTTCTCCTCCCTTCTGTCCCCTCCACTCCCTTCTCCCCTGGCTTTGCTTCCTGAGTGTGGATGTAATATGATCAGCTGGCTCAGCCCCTGCTGACATGGCTTTCCTGCCCTGATGAATTACACCCTCCAACCATGAGCCAAAACTAAACCTTACTTCCCTAAGTCGCTTTCATCGTTTTTTTTTTTTCATTTGTTTGTTTGTCGTTTGTCTCACTGTATATCCCTGGCTGGCCTGGAATTCATTATGTAGACCACACTGGCCTCTCACAGAGATCCACCTGTCTCTGCCTCCTGAGTGCTGGAATAAAAGACGTGTCAGTCAGCATGCTTGGCTTTTTGTCTTATATTTTGTCACAGCAACAAGAAGAGTAATTAATACACTCTCCCTAATGAGAAGCTATTTCCTCCAGATTGAGCAGTCCATCCTGGAAGGAGAAGGGTTTATAAGACTCAGAGCTGGGTGTGGTGGCACACTCCTTTAATCCCAGCACTCTGGAGGCAGAGGCAGGCAGATCTCTGTGAATTCAAGGCAAGCCTGGTCTACATAGTGAGTTCCAGGACAACTGGGGCTACAGGGAGACCTTGTCTCAAAAAGACCAAAAAAAAAAAAAAAAAGACTCAGAAAGTAAACAAAACTTACAAGGTTCAGGAAGCTCAGAAAGTTACAAGATTCCCAGGCCCCTCCCCACAGTTATAAAAGTAATAAACAATTGCTGGGGAGCTTGCTCTAGCCATCTAAGCTACCAAAGTCTTATACAGGGAGCTGCAAGGACAGCTTTCAGAATCATCACTGTGGCTGGGGTGAATATTTTGGTGACCCAGTGACCTTCAGGACACCTATGCTTCTGTAAGTCACCCCAACCAACTCACTGATTCCTCAAGCTACACTTGGATGGAATCATTTCTTTTCTCTATCTTGGTGCCCTGTCTGAAGTGAATAGACATTAATTCATGTCTCCCCAGGAAAAGTCACATTCATAAGTGAAATAAAATCTCTCTCCAGTGCAATAACATTAAGAGGTGGAGACTTTAGGAGGTAATAAGGTCGTGAGTTCTGAGCCCTCATGGATGGGATTGGTCACCTTATAAAGAGTCTTAAAGGATATTTGTCCCTTTCTGTGAACAAGTATAGAATGCATCATCTATGAGAGACAGGCTCTTATCAAATCTATAGGGGCCTTAATCTTGGGCCAGACTCCAGAATTGTGAACAATAAGTTTCTGTTCATAAATTACTCAGTCCAGGGTATTTTGTTACAGTAGCCAGAACAGATGAAGACAATAGGCAGTTGTTTACAGTAGAACCCACCTGTAATCCCAGGATTTGAAAGACAGAGGCAAGGATTCTAGGCCAGCCTAGACTACAAAGTGAGATACTGTCCCAAAAGGCATCCTCCCCCAAAAGGCAACTCTATTAGTTACTTTTCTTGTTATTATGATAAAATTCCTTGACAAAAGCAGCTTAAAAAGCAAAGGTTTATTTTGGCTCACAGCTCGAGGGTAAAGTCCATCATGGTAAGGAAGTCAAGGTGGCAGGATCTTGAGGCCACTGATCACATCAGATCTATAGTCAAGAAGCAGGGAGTAATGAATGCTTGTGCTGGTTTTCTCCTTTTTTTATACAATCCAGGATCCCAGCCCAGGGAATGGTGTCACCCACAGTGGGTGGGTTTTCCCATCTCAACATAACCAAGATAAATCCCTCAGGGCACACTGTAGTACAATAGCCCTTTACAGTAAAACACAATGTAGCACTTTAGCAGATACAGAAGACTGTCCTAGTCCCAGAAGACGGTAGACACCAGTTCTCACAGAGAGGACAGCTCCATTCCCCTGAGAACATAGGGAGGGCTAAGGAAGTTAAGTACAATGACAGCAGGGGTGCAGTCTAAAGACAGACCCTGAGAGAAAGTTCTTCAAACGATGACAAGAATCCCAGCCCCCAACCTCACTGGAGAGTATAACAGCTAGACTCCAACATGACCTGGCTTTGAGATCCTTTGGGAACAGCTACCTAACAGCGATGCTATAGTGTGGTCAGTAGATTCTTAGACTCCACCTAGGTCTGCTGATGAAGAAACTGGTGACAAGTTCCAACAACTCACACAGAAACTGGGGGTGAGGTCCCACTACTGATGCAGAAACTAGAGGTATGCTCCAGCTACTACTGCAGAAAGTGGGGGGTAAGGTCCAGGTACTGTTGTTGTTTTCCTTTTTCAGGGCTGGGGATGGAACCCAGAGATCCAGCATATGCTAGGCAAGTACTCTACCACTGAGCTACATCCTCAGTTCTTATTCTTAGTTAGCAAAATGAGACTAATTTTTACAGCTAAGAGTGAATGGAAAGATAATCTCCCAGCATATTGTCAAGTTTCAGGGGAAGGCTACTGATAGGACATGTCTGAAGACACTAGATGAAGAATAACATACCCCAGTGAGTTCATGTCACTGAACAAGATGTCTTCTCTGAGTACGTAAATTTACAAAGTCATCTGCCAGAAGAAAGAGCTAAAAGAGCTCAGAATGATGGATTCTGGGAAAGTAACCAGAGACTGAGAAAGAGGACACTGAGGACTTATTTTTACCACAAACCTTCAGATATTATTTTGTTTTTAATCATATGCACCTATTAACATTTGTGTGGTATGTATATGTGTATATACATATTCATGTGTGTGCAGGCTGTATGTGTGGGAGTGTCTGTGCATGTGTGTGTGCATACATGTGAAAGCCAGATGTCAGCCCAGGTGTCGTTCTTCAGGAGCCTTCCATCTTGATTTTTGAGACAGAATCAATCTCTCTCTCTCTCTCTCTCTCTCTCTCTCTCTCTCTCTCTCTCTCTCAGACCTGGGGCTCACCAGTTAGGCTAGGTTGGCTGCTCCCCCCCCCTCCCCACACCCCACTCTCTCTCTCTCTCTCTCTCTCTCTCTCTCTCTCTCTCTCTCTCTCTCTCTCTCTCTCAGACCTGGGGCTCACCAGTTAGGCTAGGTTGGCTGGTAAGTGAGCCCGAGATATCCTCCTGTCACCCCAGCACTGGGATTACAAGTGTCCACCACCACACCTGGCTTGAACATATATGCAGGGATCAAAACCAGGTCCTCACACAGCAGGACTTTAACTGCTGGGTCATCCTCGGCCCTACATTAATAACATTTTCAAAAAAAACATGTTAAGGTCAATCTTGTCCTTAAACCTCTGTTTCCTATTTACATGACACAGACATGTCACCAGGCATCAGCTGGGACCCATACTCATTGGGTATCTTGAGGACTATCAAAGTTGATCCCTAACTTCTGAAGACTTAGCAAGGTCCCCAAACCACACATGTCTTCTATTGTAACTAGTAACATCACTTATGAATCACTCTATGTAAGGTGCGGAGGTTAAAGTCAGAGTCTGAAAGCCAGACAGATGAGTTAAAAAGCCAGGGTCCCCAACTTTTCTCCATATTTCCTACACATGGGTGTTTTTGCCCTTGGAAGCCTCAGTTCTCTCTCCTCACACCCATCCATTAGGATGATAAAGACAAGAATATGAGCAGGTAGACATGTTTCCTTCACTTCCTCCCTCTCAACTTTGGTCTCTCTCCTTAGGGTCATCGCATCCCTGCTCCCCCTAACTATGCTCCGTCATTTGTACCTGCATAGCTCCCATTTCTCAGGTTCCTGTCTGTGACTCCGCACAATTAAAAACACCAAATACCCAGCCTGGACCTGCCTCAGCTGCCCATGAAAACCCCTTTCCCTGTTCCCCTGAAGAATCATTGCTCCTTCAACTTCTGCTCATGTGTCATGTCTCTGGCTCTCCAGGGAAGGTGACCAAGGCCAGCTCAGACTTCCCAGTCTTACCTTGTCACCCCTGACCTTTCTCTGTCCTTGGACCTTTGCCACTTCTCCTGCTCTTCTGACAACCCCTCTGACTTCTCTTTGAGGGGCTCCTCTGAGGGTGGCAATTGCCCTTGGCTCCTTCTCAGGTCATGCATCTCCCACCCATTTCCATACCCCTCCATCTCCACCTATGAGACCCACCCTGTGCACACCCTGAACTCCCTTGCTTACCAGATACTGGAGATGAGGGGAAACATAGGTATCCCACCAGGAACAGCAGCCTCCAGTGGAAAATTCTGTAGGCAGACCTGGACAGGATGATGATCCCCAAAGCAATGAAGCAGTGCTCCAGAATGACAGCGTGGGCCTAGTGCTCACCCATCAGCCACTCCATGACTACGCAGAGGCCAAGAGGACAAAACCATGGTCAGCACACAGTCCCTAGCCTGTTGGCACGCCCCACCCTGCCCTGGACAGTTCAGGTTGGACTAAACACCTCTCAGATCAAAGTGCTCCATGACAGATCCCAGTACACCTAGAGGTATACACCCCTAGCCCTTGATGAACACCTGAGCTCCCCCTACACACAGCCTTCTAGCCCTTCTCCCTCTAGTTGTTCCTTCTTTGCTTTCTACCTGACCAAAATCTCTCACAGAGGAGGCCTGTTCTAGACACTTCACACACCGCATACATGCTGAGACAAGGAATCATGGCCTTTGTCTTGGAGTATATCAGTGCTTTGGCCTCCGCTATGGAGAGCCAGTTCCCTCTAGCTATGCTCTGGCAGGTTCTCAATGAGAAGAGTTGCCAGGGAGCCCCAAGAATATCAGGGATTATAGGTATGCGTATATGTGCATTGGAGGTGTCAGTGTCACACAGGCCTGGATAAAAACCCCAGCTTCTTCTTCCTTGAATAAGTTGGTTAGCTTCTATAAGGCTCAAATATTCCCTTCAGCTAAAGAAATAAAGTGTTGTCAGGATGAATGAGCCAGAGCATATTTAATACTTCATTGTTCCCCTGACTCTTAAAGGCTCAGTGACTGCAAGCCATGTGCAGGGTACAGGAGAATGCAGGGGGAGTGTGTGGATATGAGACCAGCAAGGAGGCTGAGGGTGGAGGGCACTCTGTTCTGATTCCCTCACAGCCAGGAGAGGAACCTCTTATTCCTCCTTCCTTCCTGGTCTGTGGCCTGATGGTTTCCCATAGGTTAGTGCCAACATGTCTATTCCAGGAAAACTTGCTTCTTGCTCCATGAGACAACTTTGCCTCTTGCCTTGTGTCCCTATTCCCATCATGCCTCACCCTTGAGGCCCAGTCACCTAAAGACATGCTGCTGATGGCATAGCCCACCACCACCTGGGAGACAATGAAGCAGAAGAACAGATACTGCTGGAAGCTTTTCAAGAAGGCTGTTCCGAAGCCGAAGATGAGCAACCCCAGCAGTGACATCAGGATGGCTGGATAGTGGCCCAACCTACAGGTGTAAAGAGGAGGCACCACCAAGAGTCACATCTCCCTGTCCGGCCACAATTATATACCAGGGCCAGGCTCTGAACTACCCCAGGGCCCTGCAGCCTTCTGACCTTTGTCTTCCCCAGCTTAAGATTTTGAATGCCTGAGGAAGAGGCAAAATGCCCCAGGGATCAGTGGGAACTCCAGGATACTTACTTGTCACTTACAAACCCAAAGAAGATAGACCCTGTCAGGATGCCCGCCATGAATACAGTCAGCACGTTTTCCTTGTTTCATTCATTGCCACACACACCAGGTCAAACTGGGGATTCGACAAAGGAATTGGTCACAGCTTCCACCCAGGCCTAGCTGTTGGGATCTAGACACTGAGCTTGGCTCCGTGGGCACCTGAGATAAAGACAGGCAGCTGTGTGCAGGGTGCTGTTGGCTCTGTTATCTCTGTATCCTATCCAGCACCTAGTAGACCCTGTAGCAAGCCTGAGGAGAGGGACCAGAGCCATGGGACAGGAAGGGAGATGAGCGAGAAGGTTACCAAGTCCAGGCACAAATATTGGTCCTGGGTTCCAACCTGGGGCTTCCCATGGACAGATCTGTGCTGGAAATGGCCCAGGCTGAAGCTCAGGTGGGGAAGCCCTGTGAGGAATGCCTGATGGGAGCTACTTCTTTTACCATCTCTAGCTTCTGTGAGTTCTGCTTAGCTGCCTTCCAACCCATCTCCTTTCTTGCCCCATTTGTCTGGTACCTCTATCCAGGCTTAGCTCCAAGGCTGCCAGGTGCTAGATCCAGAAGTAACAGAGCCAAGCCACCCAGCACACAGCTACCTGTCCCTTCTCCAAATGCCCTATGCCTAAGGGTTCCCCGTGGGCCAAAGGACAGAGCCACGACCTAAGAAGCAACTCTCTGGACAGATAGCCAGCCTGACATCAAGGCTTTGTCTCTAACACCAAATGCACTCTAATTCCCTGGCTTAGACAGGTAGGGGCCAGAGTTGGGATGCATAAATCCTGATTTTCTTCCCTGTTGCTCTTCTGCAGGGTTTGCTCAGGCCATTTGCTGCCTCTCTCTGGGGTAGCTGAAGACAACAGCAAGAAAATTCCTACCTTACTGATCAGTGATTGCTTCTTAGAATCAGGATAGATCCACCCCTGTTTGCATGAGTCTGTATAACTGAGGCCAAAATTGATGATAGAATCTAGATCCCATGGCATGGGTACATATATGAGACATGTCAGGAAACTGCCATTGGGTGCTTGGGGCAGGGTCAGATTCAGTTGCTCAGCCTCGGAGAGGTTGGGGCCCACAGCTAGAATCCAGCTGGTGTTGCAATAAGGCCTCTGGTCTGTGAACATGAAATTATCAGCAAGCATGAAAAAGGCTGACAGCATGTTGGGAATGAAGGTGACGGCCACCAGCCTCCACTGGAACGTGCCAAACTCCCCCACTGCATCCAGGATACTAGCTAACCTGTCATTCGTCTTGATATCTACAGCCTTCGGTCTTCGTAACAATATCTTCAAGGACCAGGAATGGGAAGGAAAGGAGATCTCATGCTGGTGTGTGCTCCTGTTATCCTGGGGCTTGTTCTGTTCTCCTTCCATCTGATCAGAGAAAGGATATAGCTTAGTCTCCTAACCCCATTTCCCAAACATCAGACCTCTCCGCAGGAGCCAATGGGCTGGAAGTGCCCTCTGCCTTGGAGCAGACCTATGACCCCTTGCTACCTATGACACCTTGCTTTCCTTCTAAAGTCTCTTAGTTCATATAACTCATTCTTCCTTGGCTCAACTACTTCTGATTTTTAATGAAATGGATACTTTTTAAGTTTTAGAGAATGTTCTAACATGAACGAGGACATAAGGAACCCTCTGGCAGCTTCCCATAGCAAAAACTAATCATACATATGGAGGCACCACTGGAATTTTAAAAGGCAGGAGAGGACTTCAGGGCTTCTTCCTTTAAATAAGTAAATACATAAATAATAAAGTAAGGTAGACACCTGAATCCGGAGTGGCAAAGGCCTGGGGCCAAGGCAAGTGGCTCAAAGCCTTAGCTATGCAGTTGGGAAGCCAAAGCTGGCATGTGAAACACTAGAATGGGGCCAAGGACAACAACATGGTCAAAACGGGGAATCAGAGGGGAGGGCAAGGAGGGTTGTAAACGGTATTAAGGATATTTCCTTGAGGTAGCCGTAAGAGGCAGAAACTAAGTGTGATACTGTGTTTTGAGCCAAAACCCTCAGCGGGGCTAAGGAGGCTGCGGGTTGGGGCACCCTTCAGGCACAAGGAGAAGCAGCAAGGCTTCTCTGTGGAAACTTTCTCCAGGCTGAGCCTGTAAGACTCTCAAAGACCAAGACCAAACAAAGGGATTGTACTCAGAGAAGGCAAGCCACTATGAAACCACCAGAGAAACTGTAGTCAACAGACTGTCTCTTAAGAACTGTCAGGTGAAGGTACTGGAGAAATAGCTCAGTGATTAAGAGCACTTGATGCTCTTGCAGAGGACCTGGGTTAGGTTCCTGGCACCCACACAGTGGCTAGCAACAACCTGTGACTCCCGTTCCAGGGGATCAATGCCCCTGCATTGTATATGCAGGCAAAACACTCATACATAAAATATAAAATAAATAAAATAAAATAAAAAATAAAAAGAAGCCAGGTGTGGTGGCACATGCCTTTAATCCCAGCACTTGGGAGGCAGAGGCAGGCAGATCTCTGTGAGTTCGAGGCCAGCCTGGTCTACGTAGTGAGTTCTAGGACAGCTGGGGCTATAGGGAGACCCTTTCTCAAAAAGACCACAAAATAAATAGAATAAATAAAATAATAAATAAAATAGAGCAGAATAGCTAGCACATGAACTCTTCAAAGAAATAAAAGTTGACTGGGTGTGGTTGTACATGTCTGTAATCCAGCACTTCAGAGGTAAGGCAGAAGGATCGCAAGTTTGAGGACAGTCTGAACTACATAACAAGCTCTGATTTCAAAAATCCAAGAGCTATGGGACTTAGAGAGATGGCTTAGTGGTTAAGAACACTGACTGTTCTTCCAGAGGAACTGTGTTGTTTCCACCAAACACATGGCAGCTCACAACTGTCCATAACTCCAGGGCATCTGACACCCTCTGGCATGCACAACATGGGTGCACTTACATACATGCAGGCAAAATAGTCATACATATAAATAAAAATAAATTTTAAAAAAAACAAGAGTTCAGTGGTAGAGTATTTGCTTAGTATGTACAAGGTATTCCAAACCCTCTGAAAAAGAAGGGCACACAGAGAATGAAAATCACAATTACAGGAATTTACAGGGAAAAGCAGACGCCTCCAGAGTGAAGACAGTGAACTTCTAAACATGAGAAAGGGTAGCATGTTTTTCTTGACATGAAAATACTAAAAGGCAATCTAGTTGGAACTGACCTGGAAGCCTCCTCCCTGAAGACTAGCTCCCATAGTATCAGAGGATACCATGCAAGCTGCCGAGGAAGAAATCCAATCAGTGATTCCACCCAGCTGTAAAGTCTATGAACCACAAAAATGACCAGCCCAGAAAACTATCTCTACTGGTGCAGTAGTAGGATTTTTATCTTAAGGGCACTCAACAGCTGTCTAATTGGACTTAAGACCTGCTCAATGGGAGGAAACGCATGTGTGGTACTATAAACATAGCCAAATACACATGGCTGTAGAGGTCATAGGTTCTAAAGAAAAACCTACTTTTGTCACCTCCCTAGACCAATGTAACTGCTTACTGTATTCTAAATATTTTCCTTATGTCTACAGTCAAGAGTACCTCCCTCTCATCACTCATCAAAGAAGCTTCTTTTTGCAACAGGTGGAGACTATTACAAAGTTCCACAGCTGGTCAAACACAGAAAATAAGTGTTTATGAGGTGCCCAGCCCTAAGTGACACATCTACAATACAACCTCTACATCTAAGGCTCAGAGAACATAGTGGAACAGGGGAAAGAAAGAGTATTGATGCATCTCCCAACTCTCACCGACAAAGCTTCATCATGCAACAGTGATTACATAGAAAGCCACAACTGGCCAAAATCAGAGAATATGAGATTATAGAGTACTTATCCCTAAATAGGAAACTTAAATCAAAGTTCTGCCACCCAAGGCCCAGGGACCACTGCAGAAAAGTGGGAGGAAAGATTGTAAGCACCAGAGGTGGTTGATGGCCATGAGGAAACAGTGTTCCAGGCAGTTGGGAAGTTATTCATATGAACTTTACAGCAATGGTGATAGCATGCACAAGACCTAGGCAAGCTCAAGCCAGACAAAATCCCAGCATAGAAGTGGAGAAGTGGGGAAGAAGCACCAAACCTTAGCTGAGAAATAATTGGCAACTGATAATTACAGGGAGAGGGAGAGCTGGTTTACCATAAGGTTGTGTCACTAGACAGGTTAACCAGACTCGAGTGAATCAACACATACCGAAGGACATTTGAGGACAAAAAGGCCTTAACACATATGAAAGTGTATATAAAACCCAGAGGGGTCCAGATAGAAGAGTGGATCTAAATATGATCAAAATATATTATATGAAATTCACAAAAATTCAATAAAAATTATTTTTAAAAAGAAATAAAATTAGAGAGGTTATAAATTAAAACACTTTAAAATGCATACTGATATTTTTAATATTCTGCAATAAAATTTCTAACATGAAAAAAATACTAAAATTTTAAACAAGTTCAACACAAAGAATTAGTAAACTGAAATACACAGGTAAAATGTAGAGGGGTAAAAAGACTTGGTAGATGGAAGGCAACATGGGTCTAAACAGAAGCTCTGAGAAGACATGAAAAGGGGCTGGAGACATGGCTCAACCGTTAAAAACACTGGTTGTTCTTGCAGAAGACCTGGGTTGGAGTCCCAGCACCCACATGGCAGCTAACAATTGTCGGTAACTCCAGTCTCAGGGGATCCAACAGCCTCTTCTGACCTCCACGGTCATTGCACAACACAGGTACACTTACCTACACGCAGGCAATACACGCACACACATAAAATAAAAATAATAAATAAAATTAATAAAAAATATGCTTTAAAGAAGACATGAAAAAAGCAATAAAGAAATAAAAACAATGTATTTTATAAAATTCCCAAATCATAAATCATTACACCCTGGAAATCCAACTTATCTCAAGCAAAATGAAAGGGACTCAGAGCCAGATAGACTATGGTGAAGCCTGGGGACCCCAAGAACAAAGAGAAGATTCTGAAACACAGTTACAGAAGAGAATGGAGAGCCTGAGTGGTCTCCAGGGAAACAGAAGAGGGTGATGATACCTTCAAAATGGTGATACAAAATTATAGTCAGCCTAGACTTGGTATGTCAAGAACCAGGGTACCATAAAGACGGGTGTAAATAGCTGGAAACTAAGAGAATACAAAAACAAGACTTGAGCTGATAGAGTGCACAAACGATCTTGGGAAGGCAGCCTGAGACTCAATAGCAAGTGATCAAAATGACAAACTTGTAAAAAAAATCAAATATCGTGTTGTATAATTAGAAAATTGACACCCTATGAAGTTCAGGAAAAATAACATGGTGGGACTGGAGAAGAATGCTCAGTGATAAGAGCACTGGCTGCTTTTGCAGAGGACCTGGATTCAGTCTCCAGCACCCACATGGCGCCTAACAACCACATAACTCCAGTTCCAGGGGATCTGACACTGCCTTCTGGCCTCCTCCGGCTCTACATGCACATGCACATGTCCCCACAGACATACACATACATACAGATAAATGAAAATAAATATTAAAAAAGGATAACATGGTGGGCTACAAGAATATATAATTCAGGAGGGAAGGGCAGAATCAAACTATCCTTTAGCCTTTCTATTTTTGAGGGATGTCTGTTATTCAGAAGCAAGGGGTAAGGATTAAGACTTTGAAATTACATTTATATAATACATATTAACAGTCATTTCAATGAGTGAAAAATGAAAACTAAAGGGGAAAAATTAAATTCAGAAAAAGTCAAGGAAAGAAAAAAAAAGAAACAGAAAAGGTGGGTTGCCATAATTGTGACTGGAAAAATAATTCAAAACATATTACCGTAAGTTTAAAAGTATGGTGGTGCTCTTTCAGGGGTCTGTGGAGCCGAAGAGTTGGGGCCTAGCTGGTGGAAGTAAGTCACTACGGTCTGCTTTTGAAGGAGGGAGCCTGGCCCCTAGTTCTAATCCTCTCTGCTTCCTGGTTCACTACCACGTGAGCAGTTACACGCCCCAACTGCTATAAATAAACAACCTTTCTTCCTTGAACTTGTTTCTTTCTGGTATTTTGGTCACAATAACACAATTTATCTGTTAGTTTATCTATCATTTATCTACCATCTATCAATCTATCTACTATCTATCATCTATCACCTATCTATCATCTTTCCTTATATCTATATGTACCGTCTGCCTATCTATCTATCTATCAATCATCTGTCTATCTATCTATCTACCTATCTATCTATCTATCTGTCTGTCTGTCTGTCTGTCTATCATCTATCTGCTTATCTAGTTATGTAAACACAATGGAATTTCATTCAGGCATAAGAGAAAATTTTTGTCATTTTCAAAAACATGGATAGAGGTGA